CTAACCACTGCACTACCAGGAAAGAGAATGAGAAAGGGAAATGAGAAATGGAATTGAGGGAGGGAGGGAGGGGAGGGAGGGAGGGAGGAAGGAAGGAAGGAAGGAAGGAAGGAAGGAAGGAAGGAAGGAAGGAAGGAAGGAAGGAAGGAAGGAAGGAAGGAAGGAAGGAAGGATCAATAGCATATACCACTTCACAGCCCTCTCTAACTGGTTTACAGAATCAACCTATTTCCCCTAACAATCTGGGACCTCATTTTACTCACCTTGGAAGGACGGAAGGCTGAGTCAACCTTGAGCCTGGTGAGATTCGAACTGCCAAATTGCAGGCAGCCGGCAGCCAGCAGAAGTAGCCTGCAGTACTGCACTTTAACCACTGGGCCACCGTGGCTCATTTTCCTATGCAATGGACATGAATCTGTTTTGCAGCTCCGCTCATTTTATTTTGCTGCTGAGAACACCAGCCCAGTGCCTTGATGTCTATTCTGCATTCTAAAGAACCGAGCTTTGGACCTCTGTGTCGAAATCCCCGTTTTTAACTCTCTTACAGAGTAGGAAATATTACAACGGCCACAAGTTACAATAAAGCAGCTTTCCGAAAGTGATGCACCCATTATGAAAAATTCCAAACAAAAAAAGGAACAGAGATTCCAAAAAGAAAACAGTCTACGTTCTCTTGACTTTTATGGATGGAAACTAATCAAGGAGAGAACCAACCTAGAACTAAGGAGAAATTTACTGAGAGTGAGGACAATTAATCAATAGAATGAGTTGCCACCAGAACTTGTGGCTGCTCCATCACTGGAGGCTTTTAAGAAGAGATTGGACAGCCATTCGACTTGAAATGGTATAGGGCAGTGATGGCTAACCTTTTTGCCGTCGCGTGCCAAAAGTGGGGGGGAGCCCCACGCATGCACGCACAACCCCACCCACGCTTTTGGCACGTGATAGCACAGTGGGCCCGGTAGGCCTGTTTTTAACCCTCCCCAGGCTCCAGAGGCTTTCTGGGAGGCTGGGGAGGGAGAAAATGCCCCCCCCCCCCAGGCCCCCCGGAGGCTGGAAATAGCTTGTGTCCCAACTTCCGGTGGGCCCGAAAATCAGCTGGCCGGCTCGTACATTTGCGCTGGAGCTGAGCTAGGACAATGCTCACATGCCCCCAGATATGGCTTCACGTGCCACCTGTGGCATGCGTGCCATAGGTTCACCATCATGGGTATAGGGTTTACTGCTTGAGGTTGGACTAGAAAACCTCCAAGGTCCCTTCCATAACACTGTTATTCTGTTATTTTGACTTTTGTAAAAACTAGAGGAGGGCAATATGACAGAGGCTGACTCTGTAAACCGCTTAGAGAGGGCTGTAAAGCACTGTGAAGTGGTATAGAAATCTAAGTGCTATTGCTATTTGTTAATTGAATTACTGCAGTTGTTAAATTAGTAAGATGGTTGTTAAGTGAATCTGGCTTCCCCATTTATTTATTTATTTATTTTTAAATTTTTATACCGCCCTTCTCCCTGAGGACTCAGGGCGGTGAACAGCCAAGTAAAAGCATAAACTACAAACATTAAAATACAATTAAAAAGATATATATAAATTTGGCCCCATGATTAAAAACAATAACAAACAATTAAAACCATTTTAAAAAGTGTTAGGCCAGCCCGGCTTGCTGGAAAAAGAAGGTTTTAAGGACACGGCGGAAGGCACCGAGGTCTTGGATTCTCCTTATCTCTGGGGGCAGCTGATTCTAGAGAGTAGGTGCCCCCACAGAGAAGGCCCTCCCTTCTCTGTTCCCATGCTCAGTGCTTTAGTGAAGATTGGAAATCCAAGAACAGAAAATTAGGCCAAAGTGAGACACAACTACATCATTCCGTCCCACTGGACTATTGGTTTTTCATGTACTTTTCAAATTCATCTAAGTCAAGTGTTTCTGCTAGCTGGGGAATTCTGGGAGTTGACATCCACCCATTTTAAAGTCCCCCGAAGTTGAGAAACAAAGATTTTAAGTGTTCACAAAAACTTACGTGTCGGTGTGGAAACGCAGAGCCCAGACAAACTCCAGCAATGCCTTTCCCATTGCAGGTGTTACCTGTCCAAAAAAAGAGGAAAAAAAAAACACAGAAGAAAATCCAGGTGAGCATGAAAGAGAAGGAGAATCTCAAAGAGATGCAGATAATGGAAAACGGAGATGGTCTGAGTCATCAGACATTCTGAGATAGGAAAACCAAAAGAATGATAAAGTTAACACGAAGAAAAGGCTTCAGCTGCTCTTTAATCATACAGCAGTTGAGATGGGCCAATTCTGCTCTACCTAAGGCCTTGATTTCAGGCAACAGGCGTGCCCAGAGGTGGGTTTCAGCAGGTTCTGACCAGTTCTGGAGAACCGGTAGCGGAAATTTTGAGTAGTTCGGAGAAGCAGTTGTAAAAATTCTGACTGGCCCCGCCCCCATCTATTCTCTGCCTCCCAAGTCCCAGCTGATCGGGAGGAAATGGGGATTTTGCAATAACCTTCCCCTGCCACACTCACCAAGCCATGCCACGTCCACAGAACCAGTAGTAAAAAAAATTGAAATCCACCACTGTGGCAGGCCCAAGTGTTTAACTTAGCTGATTGGAAACTTAATTTGGCTTGCGGGCTTCGTTTATTGTGTGATTCCATGCGTTGCGCAGGTCTTAAAAAAATGAATTCATTGCCCCCCGTTTTCCCCTCAAAGCAAGGGTGAAATCCAGCAGGTTCTGGAGAATCGGTAGCGGAAATTTTGAGTAGTTCGGAGAACCGGTAGTAAAAATTCTGACTGGCCCCGCCCCCATCTATTCTCTGCCTCCCATGTCCCAGCTGATCGGGTGGAAATGGGGATTTTGCATTAACCTTCCCTGGAGTGGGGAGGGAATGGAGATTTTACAGTATCCTTCCCCTGCCAAACCCAAGCCATGCCACGCCCACCAAGCCACACCCACAGAACCGGTAGTAAACATTTTTGAAACCCAACACTGGGCGTGCCCCAAAGATAGGGCTGTGCCCATCTTCTGAAGGTACCCATGCCTCCAATGGCAGAGGAAGCAGAAGCAGAGGAAGCAGACCCCATGAGAACACTCTCCATTCTTCTCACCGCAGCATGGACAGCAAAGTACATGAGAATCGCCAACGTGTGTACCAGTCGTCCTAGGACCAGGTGATCGTCCCCCAACAGGTCAAAAGTGGTCAAAGGCCTGGAAGGCAGAGAGAAAGCAAATGTTTTGATTGGCTTAATGAGACATGGGTTGGGCAACTGTTCCACTTGGGGTTCACCTCGAATTGTTTGAAGCTCAAGGTAATACAGAGGTGGGGAACTATGGCCCCTTTATGACTCTTGGACTTCAACTCCCAGAATTCCTGAGTGAGCCAGCATGGCTGGCTCAGGAATTCTGGGAGTTGAAGTCCACAAGCCATAAAAGAGCCATAGTTCCCCATCCCTGATATAATAGACTATGGCATTGGTTTTTTTTTTATTATTATTTGATTTATATGCCGCCCTTCTCCGAAGACTCAGGGCGGCTTACAATGTGCTCAGCAATAGCCTTCATCCTTTTTGTATATATTTATACAAAGTCAGCTTATTGCCCCCACAACTGGGTCCTCATTTCACCTACCTTAGAAAGGATGGAAGGCTGAGTCAACCTTGAGCCTTGGCGAGATTCAAACCCTGCAGTAATTGCAGGCAGCTGGTCTTAATAAGCTTAATAACAGGGTGCCTTAAACCCCTGTACTACCAAGGCTCTTTCATTGTTGATGAACCTTTTCGCCAAAACGGGAGCGTGTGTGTGCGCGCACGCGGAGGAGTGCCGCAAACCAGAAGAGCAGCTGAGCTTCCGGTTTCTGGCGTGCGTATGCGCGCCAGTCATATCGTCTTCTGGTTTCTGGCGTACAAAGACCAGCTGGCTAGCACACAAATGCAGATTGGAAACCGGAAGCTCAGCTTCCCGGTGCGCGCATGTGTGCCAGGGAGTTGCTGTTCCGATTTCCGGTGCTCCCACGTGCACAAACACCAGCTGGCTGGCGTGCATGTGCGCGCCGGAACCCGGAAAGCAAAGGGGAACGACTGGCGTGCCCGGAAAAACAGCCCTGTGTGCCACTTCCGGCATGCATGGGGCATGGGCTATGGGGCTACGGTAATCATAAAATTTGTTGTAGAGGATTTGCAAGCGTTGGGCAATGCTTCAGAATTACAGAAGTACGTGCACACACAGTTCTGGCTTGTGGCCCATTAAAACAGCTGCAGAACTTTCCTGGATTGTATAGGATCTGTCACTCATTAAAGCAGCTGCATCCCTACGAGGAAATCTGTTCCAAAAGGACCTGAAGATTGAGGTGGTCTCACCTGTCAAAGTTCCGAAGAAGTGGGAAGAAGAAATGGCCAGCAATTGGAGCAAACTGGTTAGGAGTGCCCAAAGGTTCTGCTTGGGACGGGCCCTGTATCAGACAAAGAATAAGGGTTGGATACGAGGCAGCAGGAGACGCTTTGACAATAAGACATGTGGCGTTTTCCCTCCCAAAATAGACCCATAGAAGAATTTCTTTGCTTGCAAGAGATTGTTTTGCAGTCGGTCACTGCCCTATAAGGATGGGAAACAGGAAAAGAGGTTGAAAAACCCGTATTTCTTTTTTTTAAAAAATCCATTTGTAAAGCTGCCCATCTTAGCAATTTGCTCTGCGTGGTGAACAGTAGAAAACAGAATAAAAACAAATATATCCTAAGGACAAAAAATATGTAGCAGCCAAGAAAAACAACACAGTAAACAGCACTAGGAGAAAGGTCCTTTCTTGGTGGCCCCAGACCAGGCCCCGAATGAGGTCTTCAGGGTCCTATGAAAGGTTAGGGACTAACTCTCCAGCATACCCCTTATTTACTACTATCATTCTCACTGTTCATCAAGTCATCCTTTGGGTCCTGATTCTTAGTCACTTGGGACTCCAGGATGTAGATTAACTAACTTGGCATCCAGGAAGTGCTGAATAAGCTCCCATCATTCCACTAGTTTGGAAGAATTAAGGCTGAGGACATCCAACTAGTCACTTACTGAGCAGAAGGAACTGTGACTGAGACAGTGTCAGGCCCAAAGACGACACAATAAAATCCAATCAAGTTCAATCCTTTATTTGCTTACACCTAATAGACAGACTCTTGCCAGAGTAAAGCGATGACTTTCTAACCTAATGGATCAGGGGTGGGCATCAAAAATTTTAGCAAGGGGTTTTCTGCCTGGCTGCTGGATGGGCGTGGCCATGGTGGGCGTGGCCTAGTCCGCCTCCTGCACCATGGTGGGAGGGGGTGTTTTTGCCCTCCCCGGGCTCCGAAGGCTTTTCTTGAGCCTCTGGGAGGGCGAAAAAGGCCTCCCCAGGCTCCAGAGGCCCTCTGGAGGCCAGAAACCTCCGGTAGGCCCGTTTTTTGCCCTCCCCGAGTCTCTGCGTGTGCCCTGCATTTACCTGCATCCAAAACGGGCCGCATGGGGACTCCTGGGAGGGGCGGGGTGGGAGGGGCCAGCCAGGAGTGGGATTTGGGGGTTCTCCGAACTGCACTGAATCTTAGCTAGAGGTTCTCCCAAACCCCTGCGAACCCCCAGCAGTCCACCCCTGTAATGGATGTATCCTGAAAAATTCTAGGGTGTGGCTACCCTAAACCTCTTCCTCCTTCCCCCATTCAGCTCAGGACTATCCAATCTCTTATTTTGGGCTTTTCTCTGGAATGCGCTGCCTCCTCAAGAAACTGTGGAGCTGCTGAGATTCTCCACCTCCTTCTGCAGGTCTACATTTCATCACACGGGGAATGGGTTGGAAGTAGAGAGAAGTACAATGTTCTACAAGGTAGGATTTCAGAATAAAGAGCGATGCTCCTCAATCAGAATAAGTACCACCCATAGGTTGTGTTTGACTCCAGTGCTGTCTTTTGTGGCCTTCAGTCCTGCTGAACAGAGGCCAAGTGGCTCGCCCTTGGTGGTTGTGGGATGCTTAAGAGATGGCTGAGGTTAAAGGTTTAACTCAAGTGGATTTTCCTGGCCCCACCTTTGCAAACCTTCGGGTCTTGCTTCTGATCCTCTCATCTACCACTTTCTTCCAGTCTGGAGAAGAAGAGGTATGAGAGATGATTTGGATACTGGGTTGACTGGCATTTGGTTTTGAGGGAGACGAAGCTGGCCGAGACAATTCTTGGGCAGACACGGCCAACACCTGGATGGAGAAACCAGAGGCCATGAAGTGGAAAGATCGCTACAACAAGCATCACAAAGCTGTCCAGGTTGAGAAAAACTGAATTAAATCATCCCTGTGGCAGGTAACTATCAGCCTCTCCAAAAATTGAGACTTCACCACCTCCGTAGGTGGACCATTCCCTTGTTCTACAGCTCTTCCCATTAGAAACTTTACTCCCCCTTATATTTACTGTATTTTTCGGAGTATAAGACACACCGGAGTATAAGACGCACCTTAGTTTTTGGGGAGGAAAATAAGAAAAAAGCGGATTGGTGGATGGATCCTCACGGAATATCCCCAATCAGCTGTTTCCAGAGGTGAGTTTTAGCAACAGGTTCGTTGGTTGTGAGTTGTTCCTTGCTTTTTTTTCTGCCTCTGAAAGCTTCCAAAACAGAGTTTCAGAAAAAAAGGCTTTTTTTTCTGAAGCTCTGTTTTGAGGCTTTTTTTTTCTGAACTTCTTTCAGAGGATTTTCTTCTGAAGCTTCTTTCAGAGGCTTTTATTCTGAAGGACTATCTGTACTCTATTCAATCTCCTTTCTTTGGTATTGGTATATAGATTAACCTCTTCCAATCTGTTGGTTATTGTGTCATTCTCCAGATTTGTTAAACATAGTTTGGTTAGAAACTTTACTGATTCTTCTTTTGTTGCTTGCCATATTATTTTAGATAAAAGCCTTTCAGAGGCTTTTTTTCTGAAGCTCTGTTTGGAAGCTTTTTTTCTGAAGCTTCGTTTCTGAGGCTTTTTTTCTGAAGCTTTTTTCAGCCTCTGAAACCTCCGTTTGAGAGGCTGGGCGGGGCTACATTCACAGTATAAGACGCACCCAGATTTTCACCCTCTTTTTGGGGGGAAAAGGGTGCATCTTATACTCCAAAAAATACGGTACATGAAATTTAAAGTAACCCCAATTTAAATAGTTCTTGAAAGCAGGAGTCACCTACATCCAGTATGTCCATCCGTTGACGCAGACTGTAATTCAGGGAGTAGAATTCTGAAGTTAGATATTTGGCCACCTAGAAAACAAAGAGACAAAGCATTCCTTCAGACGTTTTTCATGACTTCTGCGTTTTTCAATTCTCCCTTTATTTTCAAGAGTGACAAGTTAGGCACAAAAGACAGGGCAAAGAATTCCAGTAGCAACCATAAAGATGCTTTATGTCTTAGAAAGACTCATGAGCGCTGACTTTCTACTGCTCTGGAGTATAGGAAGAGGAACCCTGTACCCCCTCCAGATGTTGAACTGAACTTCCTTGTGTGAAGTAAGCTGAGTTTTCCACAAACTCCCATGGAGAGCCAAGAATTCTCCACCCTTTTCCCCAGCTCCTTAGCTAAGCTCACTACAAGGTTGCGAATCCTTTCACTGAATGGTCAATACCTTTACTTACCCGGATGGGGTCTGCGATAGTAAGAGCCACCAAGGCACCTTGCCGAAGTCCCGTGAACCCTTCAATGTAGCTCTTCTCTTCCAAGTGGAGCAAAACTTTTGCCAGTTCCACGCTCATCTGTGCAAAAGGAACACAATCCTGAATTTCCTATGGAATTTACCCTACACGTTCAATTTAGTTCAGGGTAAATTCATAACCCTGAATTGGCTATAGAATGCTGGGTGCTGGAAGACAACTTTATGCAGCTCTGCTGAATCTAGTTGTTGTTAGTTGCGAAGTTGTGTCCAACCCATTGCGACCCCATGGACAACATTCCTCCAGTCCTCTACCATCCTCTGGAGTCCATTTAAGTTCACGCCGACTGCTTCAGTGACTCCATCCAGCCACCTCGTTCTCTGCCGTCCCCTTCTTCTTTTGCCCTCAATCGTTCCCAGCATTAGGTGAGTCCTTCCTTCTCATTAGGTGGTCGAAGTAATTGAGTTTCCTCTTCAGGATCTGGCCTTCTAAAGAGCAGTCAGGGTTGATCTCCTCTAGGACTGACCAGTTTGATCGTCTTGCAGTCCATGGGACTCGCAGGAGTCTTCTCCAGCACCAGAGTTCAAAGGGCCCAATTCTTTGGCACTCAGCCTTTCTTATGGTCCAACTTTCACAGCCATAAATTGCAACTGGAAAAACTATGGCTATACTTTTGTTGGCAGGATGATGTCTCTGCTTTTTAGCATGCTGTCTATCTTTGCCATAGCTTTCCTCCCCAGGAGCAAGCGTCTTTTAATTTCTTGGCTGCAGTCCCCATCTGCAGTGATCTTGGAGCCCAGGAAAATAAAATCTGTCACTACCTCCATTTCTTCCCCATCTATTTGCCAGGAATTGAGAGGAATTCTAGAGGGCGCTGCAATCTGAGGAAACAGTAATTGCCCCTTTCCATGTTGTTAATACCTCGCTTACGTTCTACAAGGCAAACTCATGTAAACTCAAGAAGCCTGCTCTAAACTAATTATTTTGGTCATCAAGGGGCACGTGCAAATTCCAAAACAGCACCATAGGCTTGTCTCTTCTGGATTAAACTAAAGAAACCACAACATGGTGAATAAACCATGATTTATCCTCCAGACAGGTATAGAGATTCCTTCCCACACTTCAAAGAAAGGAAGGACTTCTCTTTTTCCTCCCCTTAACCATCCTTTGGCTCAATCTTCAAACCTACATTTTAACCCAGTTGGTTTCAAGTGACCTGTAAATAAGACTAGTTTTTTGGGTTGAACAAACCAATTAAGTTATGATTGGTGAAATTCTAGGGGGGGAAATTCCAATTTTCTTTTTGGCACCCTGAGACTCACTTCACACATTAATTCTCCACCTCCATAAGCCATGGTTTATTAGGCAGTCTGAAGTCACCCAAAATCTTGAAAAAGCTTTCATGAAAAGAGTGACGTTAAGCCTTAACTTGTATATAGAGACTATTTCTTGTCATTTTTCTCCCTCTTCTCTTCAATCGTGTCTCGTAGGCAACCAGGACAAATCCTTGAACTATTCTTGGCAAAGTATCAGAAGTGGCTTGCCACTACTTCCATCCTAGGGCTGGGAGAGAATGACTGGCCTAAGGCCACCCAGCTGGCTTTGTGCCTAAAGCAGGACTAGAACTCACAGCTTCCCAGTTTCTAGCCTGATGTCTTAACCACGACACCAAAATGCTTCTCTTCATGTTATTAACTATTGCTATAAAACGATTATGGCAAAAAATCCCTAATCCCTAACCACAGCTGGCTTTTTCCAAATCCGAACTGCGATGCGAAGAGGCACGAATTGCATTTACCTCTTGAGCGGTGGCTGTGTCCCTCCGGATCAGAGTTTCCAGGACGCCCAAAGCAGCTTCGTATTTTTCGGCATCTTCCGATCCTGTCAGAACTGACGAAACAGAAGAGGACCGTGTGAAAATGCGGAAGAGGCTACAAGGACAACTGTCAAATTCTAGACTAAGAAAAAAAAAATGGCTTCTTTATCAGAAGAAACTTGCTACTGTCCTTATAAGATAAAGATAAAGCTTCCCCTCGCACATATGTGCTAGTCGTTCCCGACTCTAGGGGACGGTGCTCATCTCCGTTTCAAAGCTGAAGAGCAGCGCTGTCCGAAGACGTCTCTGTGGTCATGTGGCCGGCAGGACTCAACGCCAAAGGCGCATGGAACGCTGTTCCCTTCCCACCAAAGGTGGTCCCGATTTTTCTACTTGCATTTTTTACGTACTTTCGAACTGCCAGGTTGGCAGAAGTTGGGACAAGTAACGGGAGCTCACCCCATTACACGGCACTAGGGATTCGAACTGCTGAACTGCTGACCTCTCGATCGACAAGCTCAGCGTCTTAGCCACTGACCCACCATGTCACTCATATATGTCTTTATAGGATGGTTGTTACACAGAGTTCGCCCTCTGTCTTGCAATTTAAGCCGCACCGAAAAAGGACTAGCAAAGAGAAGGAAGAAAGGGTGTTCTGTTTGTAATTGCAAAACGCTTATGATGACCAACTACACTGCCAAGAGCCTGTGGAATGAGGGAGTTTATCGATCAGATACATCAGTATTCTCAACCTTGGCCTTCAATTCCCAGAATTCCCTGTAAAATACATGGCCTTCAATTCCCAGAGTTCCCCATCCAGCATTTTAGAATTGCTACGGTTGAGAAACACTGGAGAAGGAAGGAAGGAAGGAAGGAAGGAAGGAAGGAAGGAAGGAAGGAGGGAGGGAGGGAGGGAGGGAGGGAGGGAGGGAGGGAAGGAAGGAAGGAAGGAAGGAAGGAAGGAAGGAAGGAAGGAAGGAAGGAAGGAAGGAAGGAGGGAGGGAGGGAGGGAGGGAAGGAGGGAGGGACAGAAAGAAGGAAGGAAAAGAAAGAAAGAAAGAAAGAAAGAAAGAAAGAAAAAAAGAAAGAAAGAAAGAAAGAAAGAAAGAAAGAAAAGAAAAGAAAGAAAGAAAGAAAGAAAGAAAGAAAGAAAGAAAGAAAGAAAGAAAGAAAGAAAGAAAGAAATCCAAACAATTGAAGGAAAGGAGCTGCCATTCCCTGGTCCAGCTTCCTCAATTTGAGTGCTTTCTAATTCCCACAATTCTGACCAACTCTGGATGGGGAATTCTGGGAACTGAAGTCCATCATCTGGAAGGCACTGTGTCCCCCCACACTTTAACTCAATGGTGCTTTTTTTACAAGAGGGCAAATGGACTTTCTTCTTTTTTCTTTTAAAGACATTTCGCTTCTCATCCAAGGAAGCTTCTTCAGCTCTGACTGAAGAACCTTTTACTGGTTGTAAAAGGCCCACATTTGCCCACCCCTGCTCTAAAAGGAGGCAAACGACCAGCTGTCTGCAAGGAGTATAAATCCTTCCATTCTCCACCATCCAGTCAGAGCTGAAGAAGCTTCTTGGGTGAGAAGCGAAATGTCTTCAAAGAAAAACCAGAAAGTCCAGTTGCCTCCTGAAAAAGCACCTTTGGGACAACCATGACCTGGATGACGGAGAATCTCCACAGACACCCATGTTTAAGTGCAAGATCTGACTTTACAACTACTTTATTCAGGGGATGACAAACCCAGCAAGTTGTAAATCGGTCCGTTCCCCCAAATCTGAGCCCTGTGATGGACAGAGGTAAACAGTTCTCATCAGCCAGCCAGGCGAAAAGAATCCCGAGACCTCCCTCCGTTCCCTTCTTCTTCTTCTTACTTTCAAAACAGTCCCTGATGTAGCTGGGAGCTCTGGTTTTCTTCAGCTCTTTATCCTGCGACATGTCGTAAGGGACGAGGTCATCATCGCTGCAAAAAGGAATCCGGGAAAGAAGATTCATCACCGTCTCTCCATTCATACACATTTTGTCCTTGGCTTAACGACCCACACCTGAGCCCTGTGGCTAAGCGAGACATTTGCTAAGGGAGTTTTGCCCCCTTTTACGACCTTTCTTGCCACCGTTGTTAAGTGAATCCCCACGATGGTTAAGTTAAGAACACGGTCATGAAGCGAATCTGGCTTCCCTGTTGATTCTACAGGATCACGTGAACCCAAGACACTGCGACCGTCATAAATATGCACCTGAATTTTGATTACATGACCATGGGATGCTGCAATGGTCGTTAAGTGTGAAAAATGGTCATTTTCCAGTACCGTTGTAACTTCGAACGGTCACTAAATGAACTGTTGTAAGTCGAGGACTACCTGTACGGGAACCCTGTTGTTTCTTAACAATAGAGGTAGTCCTTGACTTAACAACCATTTGTTTAGTGAGTGTTCGAAGTTACACCAGCATTGGAAAAAAAAGTGACTTATGATCGTTTTTCACCGTTTACAACTGTTGTAGCATCTCCGTGGTCAGGTGATCAAAATTCAGGCACTTTGGCAGCTGGCATGACTTGCACTGTCCTGAGGTCACGTGATCACCAGTTGTTCTGCCCCAGCTACGGACCCCAAAGAACGCAGCACACACAAAGTCTGTACAAACCTTAGTTTACTAAATTAAATCAGTCTTTTTCAAACAAAGGCTGTTAATTAACTTTCTTAACAGTCTACAAGAATCCAAAGAATAAATAATCGTAATCTTACTATGGTTGGCAAAAAGCCCAGAAGCAATTTGCAGGAAAGTGATAAGAGAACTAAGATCAGGACGCGAAGGAGAGTGAACGAAGTTGTTCCCTGCAAATTGCCTCAGTCGTTGTCCTTCCTTAAATAGGCTAAGGGAATGGCCAATTAGCCCCGAGCCTTACTCTCGAGGAGACCTCCTCCTGAGGAGCCACTCCTGCCTTTTGGCAGTTCTGCGCGCTCATGCATCGAGAAGAGGCTCCTCCTCTTCTTCCTCTTCACTTATGGGATCCTCTGGAGGTACTGAAGGCCCTGGCTGAATCCCCGCCTCTGGCACCACATCTTCTCCAGCCTCCTCATTGTCTGACTCGAGTGCCAGCTGCACAGGCTGCTGGCGCAGCACCACACCAGCCTCCTCGCTGTGAATCAGCTACTAGCTGCACAGGCCGTTGACGGGCCACAACACCAGTTGTGACCTTCCCAGCTGGCTTCCGACGAAACCAAGACAACAAAGGAAGGAAGATTTGCTTAAGGACCACATGATTCATTTTACTGCAACGGTGACTCACTTAGCAACAGCGGCAGAAAAGGTTGTAACATGGGCAAGGATTCGTATGTGGTTGGAGAATGATGACGCAGCAGCATATTGATTTAAAAGCTGAGATATTCCTGTTGGGGATTTTACCAGGGAATTATAGTAAAGAAAATGTATACTTGATTATTCATGTAATAACTGCGGCTAGAATTGTATTTGCAACAGAATTGGAAAGGTGAAGAAGATTCCTGCAGATGAAAACGCGATTAAGGAAATATTGGAATGTAAGAAATGAATAGATTAACACTTGCAATTAAAGGAAAGAATCTGATTATTACAATATATGGGATTTATTTTATCAATGGTTAGAGAAGAAAGATGAAAGCGATGTATAATAAAGTTAAATAAGAAGAGAAATGTTATGATAATAGATATGTTACTACTGCAACGCTCTCTACATGAGGCTCCCCTTGAGGAGCACCCGGAGGCTCCAGCTGGTGCAGAATGCGGCCGCGCGGGTGATTATGGGAGTGATATGGCGCTCCCACGTAACACCTCTCCTGCGCGAGCTGCATTGGCTCCCGGTGGTCTTCCGGATGCGCTTTAAGGTGTTGGTTCTCATCTTTAAAGCGTTCCATGGCTTAGGGCCAGGATATTTGCGAGACCACCTGCTGCTACCGATAACCTCCCACCGGCCAATACGCTCTCACAGAGAGGGCCTCCTCAGGGTGCCGTTGGTCAGGCAATGTCGGCTGGCGGCCCCCAGGGGGAGAGCCTTCTCTGTGGGGGAACCCGCCCTGTGGAATGAGCTATCTCCTGGAATACGACTGATCCCGGACCTCCGGACCTTCCGTAAGGCCCTGAAGTCTTATTTATTCCAGCAAGCCGGCCTAGCCTAAATGGTTTTTTAATGGGATTTTTAAATTTTATGGATTTGGGGGTTTTAAATTGGGAAGCTAATGATTTAATTCTTTTTTAATTATCTTAACTTTTGTATTTGTATGTTTTTTTAATTTTGGCTGTTCACCGCCCTGAGTCCCCTCTGGGAGAAGGGTGGTATATAAATTAAATTAATAATAATAATAATAATAATAATAATAATAATAATAATAATAATAAGTATTAAGCATTAATATCAAAATAAGAGTAGATATAAATAAATGAATACGGTGGTAAGCTTTAACTGTTATGACACAAAAAAAAAACCTGTACCCAGACGACACACTGTTTAATGAATGATGGAATGTTTTGTATTAAAAGAAAAGAAAAGAAAAGAAAGAGAAGAAGAAAAGGTTGTAACATGGGGCATAACTCACTTAACAGCCGCCTTGCTTAGCAATGGAAATTGCAGGTTCAATTGTGGTCGTACGTTGAGGACTGCCCATGTCATTCTTAGCCTACCTATCGAGCCTACCTATCGAGCTCTGAATCATCTCCCTTTTCGGGGTCTTCAGAGGCATCCAAGTCTGGTGGGGTCACACTGGAAGGTGGAACCGCGCTGGAGGTCACGTTGGCTGTGCTGTCCCTGTAACAGAGAAAAAAGGGTTTTTTAATGTTATTCTTTTGGTTTACCAAATGTTAGGCGCACTGCCCATCTCAATAATCTAATTTTGACGCAGTATGTCTTATTATTTTAGGCTATTTCTGGGTTTGGAAGCTAAGCAGGGTTAGCTCTGGTTGCTATGTAGATGGGAGACAAAAGGGAATCCCCAATCAAGACTAAGGAGTCCAAAAATGATCTCAGGAGGAGGGGACAGCATACCGCTTCTACATCTTCCCCAAGGTAACTCTAGGGACAGCTTTCATGAAGTCATCAGGACTCGAGCTGACAATATGGAACCTCGACTTCTACTCCGTCAAAGTCACCAGGACCAAAAAAAAAAAATATCTCCAAAGAATGAAGCTAAACCTTACCCAGGATCTGGGGGTTCAGGATCTGACGTCTCTTCCAGTCTTTGGGTTAGCAAGGATTTCAGTTCTTTGATCTCATCGTCTTCTTCATACTGAAACATTCGACACGTTAACCGTTCAAATTTGTTAAAGAAATTACCATATTTTTCTGAGTATAAGACACACTTTTCCCCCCCCTAAAAGAGGGTGAAAATTTGGGTGCGTCTTATGCACCAAATATAGCCCCGCCCATCTGCTGGCCCCCACCCTTTGGCTCTGCCTCCCAGCAATTTACCTCCTTGCAGCAAGCAGCAAACAGCCCGTTTCAGCTTCAGCACAGCCTGATTAGCACAAGCAGTTGATTGTGGGTTGGATTGGCCTCCCGACCCTCAGCTGTTTAAGGCTGCAGGGGTTGCCATTGCCTATTGCCACGTGGTGTTTGCTGCAAGGAGGTAAATTGCTGGGAGGCAGATTTTTCTTGTGTATGTGCTAATCAGGCTGTGCTGAAAACGAAAACGAAAGTAAAGCAGGCTGTTTGCTGCAAGGAGGCAAATTGCTGGGAGGCAAGGCAGATTATTTTTTCTTGTTTTCCTCCCCCAAAAAGTTAGGTGCGACTTATAGTCCAGAGTGTCTTATACTCTTGAAAATTGTGGTAGTTTAGGACCCAGATTAGTTTCTGGGGAAAGGACCCTACACCCAGCCCGAGGTTCACAGCTGACTCGTGGCTTCACAAGGTCTCCATCCCAGCCAGAAATCTCTCAACAACGCCTGTGGGAAAGATCAAGAAGCAGAGGGGGGGAAGCGCCTTCCTTCCACACATTTAAGATTGGGGTTTCTTTTAGTGTGCTGGTTTTTTTTGCAAGAAAATCACTACAGCAAAATCATTCTAGCTGCTTGCCTGAAACACCAAGGCGGGCCCTTCCGGCGTTATCTTGGAGCTGACACCTTCTGCTACGACCATGCCCATCCGACGGATCCGGGGCAAATTACTGTCCAGGTGGCATTTCATTCCCTCCATCAGGATGGTAAGGAGTTCTGGAAAGGCAAAGCCAGAAGCAACGGAACAAGTTCAGGACAGATCAACGTATCCATAAAACATCCGAGTACGAGTTTCAGCACCTCCTACTGTTGTGGCCCGCTAGCAGCCAGTGGAGCTAGCAGCGGATTCGGACAGTGAGGAGGTTGGAGAGGAACATGGGCCAGTCCTGGAGTCTGGGGAAGGCTCTGATGAGGGCTCTGCGTCGGAGGCAGAGAGGGGGCCAGGGCCGTCTGACAGTTATCAGCTGCCTTCGGAATCAGGCTGTCAGCCTCCCAGCACTGACATATATTAGGAGAGGAGAAGCTTGAACTTTTGCCTACTTAATCCCTTTGAAGATTCTGTCTCCTCGGAGATGGGAGGAGGGGAACATTCCTGTGATCTGACGGAGGAGGGATGAGGAAAGTGGCTTGGAAGATAGCCAATGAGACGCAGAGAATTGGGGATCGGAAAGGGAGGGCTTGGGGGGCAAAGATCAGTACTGACCGCGCAAGAGCCAGGGTCGGATCACTATGCTCAATAAAGAGAAAATTTCCTTAAAGATTGGCAGTTTGGAAATTCCTTTATTTTGAGATAGCATCGAAACCTGACACAGGCATCAGTGAGGCAGACAAACAGCTGGAGCCTGGTCCCAGTGTGCGCATGCGCAGAGTAGCCAGACGAAGGGAACAACTAAAGAACAAGGGTCGACTCAGGAGTAAAGCCACAGCTGGACGATGAAGGGCCCCTCCCAGAGGGAATAAAAGAGGAGCGAAAGGGGAGTGGAGTTTGCAGGAGACAATTAGTTCGCCTAATTGGTTCGTGACTCTCCGAGACTCCTGGCCAAGTGTTGAAGATATCGGCCTGGCAGCTCTCCAAGCCAGATAAGATCTGTGACTGTAAATTCTCCCTTGAAAGACGTTGCTGGATGTGAATGAGAAGAATTCACAGTAACTTAATAAAAAGGGTTTTTTTGTCTGGACAAGGAGTCTGCTTCGTGTTCTTGGGATGCCTAGATCAGAACACCTACCAAGGGCTTGCTTTATGGACCTTTTCCCCATCCGTTCTCTGAAGCTTCCTGCTCACATTTTGGCTAAAGAAGTTTGGGGAAGGGAAGAAGGGAGGGACTGAGAAGGATGGGCTGCCGACGGCTCTAATAAGGAACCTGAGACCAGAGAAAGGAGCCAATTCTGCCCCCATCCTTTCTCCAAAGTCCTCTTCTGCCTCTTTTACCTTGTCGGCTGGTTGAGATGTCTTCTTCTTCCAGGTGAGACAGACAAAGAAGGATGGCCTTGCTGATGTACAGCTGCTGCTCGGCTGAGGAGTGTTTCACGGCACTGCTGCTACTCCAGGTCTCCAGCAGCTCTCTCAGAATCTGCATCAGAAGCTCACCATCAGGTCTGAGGGGGCTTTCGGCTCTGTCCTGTTCCCAACCCATCCCATCCCATGATGGGATTCAAAAAAATTTTTTTTTACTACCGGTTCTGTGGGCGTGGCTTTGTGGGCGTGGCAATACTGCAAAATCCCCATTCCCACCCCACCCCACTAATCTGCTTTCCAGCTCCGTTCTCCTGTGCAGGGCAACAAAAGAAGACCCAGCTAATCAGCTGAGACTTGATCAGCTGGGACTCGGGAGGCAGCAAATACCGTATTTTCCGGAGTATAAGACGCACTAAAAGGGGGTGAAAATTTGGGTGCATCTTATACACTGTATGTAGCCACGCCCACCCACCGGCCCCCACCCTTTGGCCTCTGCCTCCCAGCAATTTACCTTCTTGCAGCAAGCAGCAAGAAGAAACAGCCCGTTTCAACTTCAGCACAGCCTAATTAGCACAAGTTGATTGTCCTTTGGATCGGCCTCCCGACTCTCAGCTGTTTCAGGCTGCAGGGATTGCCATTGCCTATTGCTGCATGGGCCTCTGCTGCTTCCTGCAAGGAGGTAAATTGTTGGGAGCAGATTTTTTTTTCTTGTGCTAATCTTGTGCTGAAAACGAAAATGAAAGTAAAGCAGTCTGTTTGCTGTTTGCTGCAACGAGGCAAAATTGCTGGGAGGCAGAGGCAGATTTCTTTTTCTGGTTTTCCTCACCCAAAGAGGTAGATGCGTCTTATAGTCCAGAGCATCTTATACTCCGAAAAATACGGTAGATGGGGGCAGGGCTAGCCAGGGGTAGTATTTGCAGGTTCTCCGAACTACTCAAAATTTCCGCTACCGGTTCGCCAGAACTGGTCAGAACCGGCTGAATACCATCCCATCTCTTTGGGCCTGAAGGAAGAGAGGCAGGCAGGTTTCCTACTGAAGATGCTGGACTGGTACCAGGGAAGCCCCAGATTCAAGTCTACCTTGCTCTACTTTGGATCACTCCTGATCTGTCAGCCCACCCTTATACCTTACAGGGCATTTCTGGCCTCCAGAGCCCAGGGGAGGCCGTTTTCGCCCATCCAGAGGCTCAGGGAAAACCTCCGGAGCCTGGGGAGGGCGAAAACGCCCCCACCCACCCCGCTGTGGTACAGGTTGATAAAATGTTTGAATCCCACCCCTCGCGCGCATGTGCAGGGGGGAGGGCAGCGGGCATGTTCACATGCGTGGGGGAGGGCCTGTTGACATGCATGGGGGCACGCATTGCATTATGGGTGACGGCATACACGCACGCTTTTGGCACACAAAGAGAAAAAGGTTAGCCATCACTGCTGTAGACCTTGCAGTGACCACAAGGACTGCTTCATCCAACCCTCCCGCCATATTTAGGCCCACCAATTAACCCCTCCATTTAATGCACTGCTTACTTTGGTCAGTAAGGAACGGCGGGTGGTGTCCAGGGCAAGGTAGCCAAGGAGAGTCTGCAGCACCTTGGTCTGGAATCAAATCAGAGAGTTTACGCACCGACAAACCCCGGAAACCATTCCACTTGCTAGCAGGGTTGAAGGGACACGGAGGTAACAATTACAGGTAGTCCTCGACTTGCCACACACATTTAGTGACTGTGGAAGTCACAGTGGCACTCAAAAAGTGATGTATGACCTTGCGCACTTAACAACCGTCACAACATCCCCATGGTCAGGTGGTCAAAACTGGACTGCTTGGCAACAGGCATGTATTTACCATGGTTGCAGCATCCTGGGGTCACGTGATCGCCATACGAGCCATGGTGGCGCAGTGGTTAGAGTGCAGTACTGCAGGCTACTTCTGCTGACTGCCTTTTGCCCCCAACAACTGGTCCCAGATGTAAGATCATAAGTCGAGGATTACCTGTATCACAGAGACTTCTGATAAAGAGAAATAAATCTGGTGTCCGTGCACTCACTTTATAATGGGATTGTAAACTTGACTGTCGTGTTTTAATTCTTGCTTGGAAAGGAATAAGATCAATCTTTTCAAAAGCGGATGACTCCACCCCATCTCACTGACTGTTCTGCCTCAGCTACGGATCCCAAAGAACGCAGCACACACAGTCTGTACAAACCTTAGTTTACTAAATTAAAACAGTCTTTTTCAAACAAAGGCTGTTAATTAACTTTCTTAACAGCCTACAAGAATAAATAATCGTAATCTTACTATGGTTGGCAGAAAGCCCAGAAGCAATTTGCAGAGAACTAAGATCAAGACACGAAGGAGAGTGAACGAAGTTGTTCCCTGCAAATTGCCTCAGTCGTCCTCCTTCCTTAAATAGGCTAAGGGAATGGCCAATTAGCCCCAAGCCTTACTCTCGAGGAGACCTCCTCCTGAGGAGCCACTCCTGCCTTTTGGCAGCTCTGCGCGCCCGTGCATCGAGAAGGGGCTCCTCCTCTTCTTCCTCTTCACTTATGGGAGCTTCTGGAGGTTCTGAAGGCCCTGGCTGAATCCCTGCCTCTGGCACCACATCTTCTCCAGCCTCCTCATTGTCTGACTCGAGTGCCAGTTGCACAGGCTGCTGGCGCAGCCCCACACCAGCCTCCTCGCTGTCGGAATCAGCTACTAGCTGCACAGGCCGCTGACGGGCTACAACACTGACCTCCTTAATTCCCCCACTGAGAAACTCACCGGAAAGCTGTACTGAAGCAGCAACAATTTTTGTGTGATCACAAACTGGGCCTTCTTGTTTTTGACCACCAAATTCCCCAGCAATCGCGACAACACAGCGGGCCTAGCAAGGCAGACAAACACAACGTCAGCGAGTAAAATTCAGTTACGTGAATACTGGGCTGTTTTTAGTCACTGCTGTATCTTGTGCTTCACCAATCGATTTTTTAGAAAGTGCACAGTACTGCTAGATCAGTGGTGAAATCCAATTTTTTTTTTAAACTACTGGTTCTGTGGCCGTGGCTTGATGGGTGTGGCAGGCGAAGGATACTGCAAAATCGCCATTCCCACCCCACTCCAGGGGAAGGATACTGCAAAATCCCCATTCCTACCCTACTCTGGGGCCAGCCAGAGGTAGTATTTGCTAGTTTTCCGAACTGCTCAAAATTTCCGCTACAGGTTCTCCAGAACCTGTCAGAACCTGCTGGATTTGACCCCTGTGCTAGATCCAGGTATTGCCACAACAAGAAAAAGACATGTGTCATAGCCCCAACCTTCTCTTAGTAACTCTTACCCTGGGACTGCCTGGACTAAGCCACAGACCACTGCTTCCATCCAGCGATCGGGCACGCTCTCAAACAGTCGCCAACAGATTCTCTGCCAGATACAATCAGACTGAGTGCGACTGGTCAGGTGAGGCACCAACACGTTTAAGATTTCTTCTGCGTTAAGAAACAGCAAAACCATGCACTTTTGAGATTGGAAAAAGCAAGACGGCACTAATAAAACAAGCTGTCCTTGCTCCTTTTCAGAAGGAAGGTTTTTAAAAGAGTCGTCACATCAAAAAGCAACCCAGTTCCTAGTTTCCTAGGAAATATCAGATAGCTTTTAGCTGAATGTATTATATAGGGATAGAATAACTGAATGTTATTTACAAAGAAATGAATAGTACACAGGGGGTGGAATAGTTAGGGGTTATAGTATTATAAAATGTGATTTTGATTTGGATTTCATCTTGAGGAAGTCATGGGGGGGAGGGGAGGGCTAGGGAGGATTTGGGGGGGGAAAATCGGGGTGAAAATGTATTTGTAAAACTTTTTAAATAAAAAAAAAAAAAAAAAAGCAACCCAGTTCTGCTTTGAAATTTTTGTTCTCCTCCCGTTTGTGTTGGAGGCACCGTTTAAAGCGCTTCCACGTTGAAAGGATTAGCTGGTGACATCACTGTCGCCTAGGGATGCCCCTGAGGGCTCCTTTCACGTCCCCGTCAAGGAGCTGGAGCGAATGACGGGAGCTCACCCCGCCATGCAGCAGCTCTCAGGTCTCGAACGTGAGCTTGCTAACCTGCAACCCAGCACCCTAACTACGTGAGCCATCACGCTCCCCGAGACATTTTTGTTTGCACCACAGACTATAAGAAAATGGCGCACCCTCTCTTTCCTTCAATAACAACCTGCTGCATGTTTATGTTACTTCTTAGTTGGCTTAGTTCAAATCCTCAATCTTAAACCTGTAACATTCTGAAGAGGAAAAAAGAGCTGATGGCTTGCAGGTAGCCCTCCACTCAGGGGTGGAATTCAAAATTTTCTCCTACCGGTTCTGTGGGCATGGCTTGGTGGGCGTGGCAGGGGAAGAATACTGCAAAATCTCCATTCCCTCCCCCACTCCTGGGGGAAGAATACTGCAAAATCCCCATTCCCTCCCCACTCCTGGGGGAAGGATACTGCAAAATCCCCATTCCCTCCCCACTCCTGGGGGAAGGATATTGCAAAATCTTCATTCCCACCCCACTCTTGGGCCAGCCAGAGGTGGTATTTGCCGGTTCTCTGAACTACTCAAAATTTCCATTACCGGTTCTCCAGAATCTGTCAGAATCTGCTGGATTTCACCTCTGCCTCCACTTACATATTTCGTTCAACCTGAGCAGCAGAAAAACAGCAATATCACATGGATAACTACATGCAGTACTCACTTTGTCTTCCATGCACACAGACCTTTCCTAACACCTGAGATACAAAGGAGATGGAACAATCCAAGCCATCTGGAAATACATAAAAAACACAACAGTGAAGGAATTGGCCAAATCCATTTCTGTCCCAAAAATCCTTTTCTTAATCAGTACTCAGTCTGCTTTAACTTTCTCCAAACCAGCCAAAACACATTTGATGAGAAAAATAAATATTATCAAGGCCGGTGATTCTTAAACCTTAGCAACTTTTAAGATGTGTGGACTTCAACTCCCAGAATTCTGTCTGAGCATGCTGTCTGGGGAATTCTAGGAGTTGAAATCCACCTATCTTAAAAGTTGCCAAGGTTGAAAGACACTGGTCTAAGTAATGATAGGCTGAAGTGCTATTATTTCTTTATGTCTGGGAGATCAAAGTTTGCTCACTTACAGACTTTGGAATAAGTTCTATTTTCAATCACAGCATATAGAACTGTTTATATAATTCTCTTAGAAGAAAACACCTTATATTTAAAAAACCATTTTCTCCTGCAATTATATTTCTTTTTGCTCATACATTCATGCATTCCTTTTTTCGCTCATACATCCTTCCCTCCCATTCAGTAGTTCACAGCAGTTTTTGCCTATTCACCCCCTAAGGTAAAGGTTCCCCTCGCACATATGTGCTAATCATTCCTGACTCTAGGGGGCGGTGCGCATCTCCATTTCTAAGCCAAAGAGCCAGCGCTGTCCGAAGACGTCTCTGTGGTCATGTGGACGGCATGACTAAATGCCAAAGGCGCACGGAATGCTGTTACCTTCCCACCAAAAGTGGCACCTATTTTTTTACTTGCATTTTTTTTTTTTACGTGCTTTCGAACTGCTAGGTTGGCAGAAGCTGGGACAAGTCACGGGAGCTCACCCATTACGCGGCACTAGGGATTCGAACCGCTGAACTGCCGACCTTCTGATCAACAAGCTCAGCATCTTAGCCACTGAGCCACCGCGTCCTTTCATTCACCCCCTAGATATCTTAATTTGTCTGTCAATGCTTACCTCGTAGCGAGCCAGAAATTCTTTCCATCACCTGGACAATTTCCATGCCAAGCAACGGGAAATAATTTTGAGGGTAGAAGACTGGTCGATTGCCTCCCTGGAGTTTGTTCCCTAAGTGATCAGGTAAACATACAACTTTGTTGAGAATCGTTTCGCGCAGAACAAGGGAACCGGTTTCTGTATGTTGCTTGCAGATTTCCCATATTAAAGCAGAGAGTCTGGACTGCTGCAAGAATTGCTCTAGGGTATTGACTGCTTTATTCAGACGAAAACTCGGCCTGCGGGGAGAAGTACCGGCCATAGTAATTATTGGCAACTTTTATTTGGCTAGCCCTCTAGGGCAGTGATGGCTTTTCCAGACCGAGTGCCCAAAGCGCAAGCACGCACAAATGCACACGCACCCGAACCAAAAATGTAATGCATGCACGGCCCGTGCATGTGCCCTGCTCCCACTCAGGCATGTACGGCCCTTACATACACCCCGCTCCCGCACATGCACCCCCCTGCGCATGTGTCCCGCCCCCCCTGCATGCACCCGACCACCGCCGTATGTGCAAGTGGTCCCCTATTACACCCCGCCCCCCGTGCATGCACAACGGAGACCCAAAGACCAGCTAGCCGGTAGGAAACACAAGCTGAGCTGGGGCAACGGCTCACATGCCCACAGAGAGATGTGCCACCTCTGACACGCGTACCATAGGTTCACCATCACAGCTCTAGGGAAAGAAGGCAGCTTTTGAAACAATGATATAATTATAGAGAAAGAGATTGTACATACTCTGCAGAAATTATAGCATCTAGTAGAACCATAAAAGATTGATCTGCTGGTCCATCAATGAAGAAGCTAGCCCACAGTTCTTTGGCTTCCTCTGATGGAAACTGCTCTGGCCAATCAGGACTCAGGTTGCTGAGCAGACCCTGAACAAAGGCAGTAAAATGACTGCGGATAAATTCTTCCTTCTGTTTTACGGAGGGTGGATTTTCAGATTGATCAAGATACCTCCTGATTGTCCACAGAGTCTTCTGGATCTGGGCACTATCTCTGGAAGAATATAGGGTGCTAATTGCTTCTTTAACTGTCAGACGAACATCATCGTGCAATTTAGGATCCATTTCTCCTGGCTGCTTCTAGGAAAAAAAAAAAGAGAAGTTTGATAAACTGTTCAGAAGATAGTAGGAGCACATTTGCGGCTGGAACAATCTTGAACTGAACACACTCAAAACTGTAGAAATGACAGTAGATTTTAGAATAAACCATCCTATACTATCTCATCTTACAATACTAGGCAACACACTATCAACAGTAAGGACCTTCAAGTTTCTAGGTTCTATTATATCTCAAGACTTAAAATGGACACCTAACATAAAAAACATCATCAAAAAAGCACAACAAAGAATGTTCTTTTTGCGCCAACTCAGAAAGCTCAAACTGCCCAAGAAGCTGTTGATCCAGTTCTACAGAGGAATTATTGAGTCTGTCATCTGCATTTCTATTACTGTCTGGTTTGGCTCTGCAACCCTACAAGAGAGACACAGACTTCAGAGGATAGTTAGAACTGCAGAAAAAACAATGGCTACCCACCTGCCTTCCATTGAGGACCTGTATCCTGCACGAGTCAAAAAGAGGGCTGTGAAAATATTTACAAACCCCTCGCATCCTGGACATAAACTGTTTCAACTCCTACCCTCAAAAAGATGCTATAGATATTCTTATTATTTTTCCCATTAGATTACCTACCTGCTTATCTTATGACTATAACTTTGTTGCTTGTATCTTATGATTTATATTGTTTACTTAGCATCCTAGTATGATTTGCCTTGATTGCTTATTTAGTATCCTATGACTATCTCTAAGTGTTGTTGTATCTTATGATTTATGATGAATGTATTTTTACGATGACTATGATCATGATTTATCACTTGTTGCTTGTATGTACACCGAGAACTTATGCACTGGAGACAAATTCCTTTGTGTGTGTCCAATCACACTTGGCCAATAAAGAATTATATTCTATTCTATTTACTGTTCTCTAAGAAAAAACCAGAAACTAATTAGGATAAGGAAAGAGCTGCAAAATACATCAATTAACCATCTAAGGGGGGCTGGTCTTTTGGGAAGGAAAACATACATTTATAATAATAACCATACATTTATAAGGCATACAGATTTAATATATTACTATATATATCTCCCCTCCCCACACCCACCCACACACACACTAGATTAGCTAGTTTATGGCAACACTTGTGAGGAGAAAGCTACACAGCTCTCTAGCATTTGGTTTTGAACCAGCTTTTACGACTTTACAACTTTAAGCAATGCATTTAAGCAATGCCAAATTTGGACCTTTAAGCAGTGCAATGCATTTAAGGAGCAATGCAAAATTTAGAACTCTAAGCAATGCCTTTAAGAAGCAATGCAAAATTTAGAACTTTAAGCAATAAATTTAAGGAGCAATGCAAAATTTACAACTCTAAGCAATGCACGCGTGCACGTGTGAACGCCACAGGGGTGTTTTACTAACTCCAGAACGCCTGAACACAGACACAAGCTAGCCCTGCCAGTGGAGGATATAATATTCCATATAATATATATAACATAATATATATTCATTTATATCCAAAGGGGTTTATTATACTTGGCTCATCACTCACTTTAGCCCTCTTAAACGACGCCGACCCGAGTTCGCTCCGGAAGAAAACAAAGGGCGCTCTAGGACTTCTCCTCTCTGTGCCAACTTCGTAGAGACTTGGGGCGGTTGGCATCAGCATAGGTTCCCTCGTGACAGGAAGTTAAGCATCGAGCGCCACTCTAGCTCCCGGCTTTCCAAACTCTATCACCGCTCTCGCGTGTCTGACGAATGAGCTCTCTCCACGACTGGTTAAAACTGGCGCGCGAAGCCGCCCTTCGTCCCGCCCACCCCCTGTCTTAAAGAGACAGTAACAAAAGGACAGCTCCTCAATACAAGAATATTCTCCAATGGAGCTTGTATTCAGGACGTTTGCAATAAGTAGGAATTTTTTTAAAAAAAGTTCCATCCTTCAGGGGAGAAAAATGTAGCCTGTCAGTTTACAAAGCCCACTGTAACAACATTGCCAAAAAGGCATTAAGGGTTGTAAACCTAATCTTGCGAAGCTGCTTCTCCTATTGAACTGCAAACTAGGCCATACAAAACCTTTGCTAGACCAATTCTCGAATACAGCTCGTCTGCCTGGAACCCACACTGCATATTGGACATAATATGAGCTAATTATCTCAATAATATAATAATAATATCTGAATATCTCAATATGACAATTGAGATAGTCCAGAGATATTTTACAAGAAGAGTCCTCCATTCCTCTACCCGCAATAAAACACCTTATGCCACCCGACTTCGAATTTTGGGCTTAGACGATTTAGAACTACACCGACTTCCGTCTGACCTAGTGTAGTACATAAAATTATCTGCCACAATGTCCTACCTGTCAATAACTACTTCAACTTCAATCACAACAATACACGAGCCAATAATAGGGGCCTTGATAGTACAGTGGTTTAATGCACCCTGTTATTAACACAGCTGCCTGCAATTTCTGCTGGTTCGAATCTCTCCAAGGCTCAAGGTTGACTCAGCCTTCCATCCTTTCTAAGGTAGGTGAAATGAGGACCCAGTTTGTGGGGGCAATAAGCTGACTTTGTATAAAATATACAAAAGAATGAAGGCTATTGCTTAACGCATTGTAAGCCGCCCTGAGTCTCCGGAGAAGGGCGGCATATAAATCAAATTAAAAAAAAAAAAATAGATACAAACTCAAAGTGAACCGCTCCAAACTCAATTGCAGAAAATACGACTTCAGTAACAGAGTGGTCAATGCCTGGAATGCACCACCTGACTCTGTGGTTTCATCCCCAAACCCCCAAAACTTTAACCTTAAGACTGTCTACTGTTGACCTCACCTCATTCCTAAGAGGTTTGTAAGGGGCATGCATAAGTGCACCAGCGCGCCTACGGTCCCTGTCCCAATATTCCTTTTTACTCTTGCTCTTTTCTTATATATATATATATATATTTCTTATATATAGGGGGGGCCAAAAGCCCTACTAAGCAGGTATATACAAAAGTATGAAGGCTATTGCTTAAAAGCATTGTAAGCCGCCCTGAGTCTCCGGAGAAGGGCGGCATATATAAATCAAACTAATAAATAATAAATATATGCTTGACAAATAAATAAAAAAATTAAAATAAACAATTTATTTTGGGCATTTCAATTTTGGATTCCAATTCTTTTGAAGCACCAACATGTTCCTTGTTTGCTGTTTGTTTTGCAATGCACTGAAGCATGGTAGTAATCCGTATGTTGCCCCGGATTTTAGGAGTTACTGCATCCACACAACTGCCTATATTTGTACTTTAAGAGTGAAGAAAGGGTTTGAAACTGCAGCTTGGCATCATGTATCAGCCAGTTCCTTGGCTTCTACATCAGGGGTCCCCAAATTCCCCCACCTCACCCAGTGGACCAGCACAGCAAAACTATGCCCCCCCTTTTCTCTGTGGAACCAGTCACTGGTGCCCAAAAGGTTTGGGGCTACTGCTCTACATGAAAACAGGTGACACTTACAAGATGTTGTTATCTGGGCATCTGAATTACTCATATTAACTCTTAATGTATTTACACTTTCGTCTGGATCAGGTCTAATCATGATGTAGAATGAAGTAGGAGTGTATGCGTGTATATCTGTTGTTAACCATATAGCAGAATGTAGTTTGCGTTGATTTCCAGCACTTCCTCAGAAGAGTGGAGTTGAGGTCCCGTTAAAAAAAGAAATACAGATTTAAAGATCTGGGTAGGTGCTTTCTTGAGAAACCAATGGGTTGATAACCACTCTAGTATGACTCTCTCTGAACATCTTGGAAGACAACATCCCCTTCAAAATGACTGCAATGGTAATTCTGCTCAATACACAGATTTACTCATCACTGCGTTTCCAGTTACTATCCAAGTCTTTTGACTTGAGATTAACTGCCCTTTACATACGGTAATTATTAACAGAGATTGCAAGATCCAACTACGGTATGTAAAAACTATCCATGGCAGTGTTTCTTAATTCTGGGAGTTGGAAATCCAGACATCTTAAAGATGCCCAGGTTGAGAAATCCTGCTTTATGGAGTAAAAATATTAAATATATGATCTTCGCCCCAATATAGTTCCATCCATGCATGCTGGAATTAATGATGCTATAGAGCACTGCACATCAGAACAACTAGACACAAGAACAGTTTTTTCCCGAACGCCATCACTCTGCTAAACAAATAATTCCCTCAACACTGTCGAACTATTTACTAAATCTGCACTATTAATCTTCTCATCGTTCTCACCACCCATCTCCTTCCACTTATGACTGTATGACTGTAATTTTGTTGCTTGTATCATTTGTCCCCTACGACTATCATTAAGTGTTGTACCTTATGATTCTTGATGAATGCATCTTTTATTTTATGTACACTGAGAGCATATGCACCAAAGACAAATTCCTTGTGTGTCCAATCGCACTTGGCCAATAAAGAATTCTATTCTATTCTATTCTATTCTATTCTATTCTATTCTATTCTATTCTATTCAATTCAATTCATTTTAGCTGCAAGTTGTAGTCCTAACTGACCCAGGTTATGGAAGCCTAACCTAGACACTCTGGACAGCTTTTCTGATCCTTGTTAGTGGTACCCAGCATTTATTGCAAACTTATTTGCTAAAATATTAAACCAAGATGACTACCATAATTTTCAATGAGCAATAATTCATTCACACCCTAAACCTTACTGGTTTATTTGTCATTCTACACAAGTACAAACACAACATGACAAAAAGATGCCACCAAGTTATACAAAAATCAAACTTTATAGTAATGACTGTACAACAGGCTGAATGCTCTCTGGCCTTTTAGAGACTGAAACCTCGGTTATTCCAATCACAAAATACTCGCTCCCACCCACCTCCCAAACAGAGATCAGGAAAATACAATTTTTCAGCTTGTGTGTTTTGCACATCTTCTAAAAAGCAAAAGATTTACAGCGTTCTTGGCAGGAACTGGCTTTTTTTTTTCTGTGTCGCTAATACGAGTTTAATTTAAAGGGGTATTTTCAGTTTGTCACAGATTCAATAATCAATACGGCCAATGGCCAAGATGTAATTTTGGGCTGGCGAGAGGATTAGAAACAAAGTGAGGGTATAAAAAATTATTGATTTAGTGAAAGGGAACAAAGACATTTTGACATTGAGATATATGTCCGAGCCATTTTGGCATGTTTGAGAAGCAGCCAATTTTCTTGGAATTGTAAAGATTTATGACTAAAATAACAAATTATCTTTGAGAATGTCAAAAGCAAAAGAACATCTCCACCCTATCCGATTCAAGATTCTTAGCTGGTTTTTATCATTTCAAAACCGACCCTTTCCTTTATTCAGATTCCAATTTTTTTTTTCTTAAAAAAAGAGACCGTTTTAAATGGGTGCGCTTTTAACTTAAAAAAAAAAAAAAAAACAAAGCTGCCTAGTCCTGCGTTTTATCGAGAAGAGTTGGAACTGGATCGACTGCGGTGACGCCTCCGGCCTGGAGATCTGGATCTGGACCGCCTGCGAACTGGGGATCTGCGCCTGGGAGACCTGGATCTGAAAGGAAACAGATTGATGGAAGGGCTTCAGATGAAGAAGAGCCTCATCTATTTAGTACAGTATAATCAGCACAGATTAAAAGAGTTGGAAGGGAGCTTGTAGGTCATCTAGTCCACCCCCCCAAGTAGGAGACCCTAGACCCGTGATGGCGAACCTATGGCACACGTGCCACAGGTGTCACACAGAGCCCTCTCTGTGGGCACGCAAGCCGTTGCCCCAGCTCAGTTCCCCATGCATGTGCCTCCCGCCGGCCAGCTGTTCTTCGGATTCTGCCACTCCTGTGCGGGGTGCATGCATGGGGGATGTGTGCCCATGCGTGGGGGTGAGGCGCATATGTGGGGGCTCACACGCATTGCATTTTGGGAATGCGCGTGCGCGCTTTGGGCACTCATCACTGAAAAGGTTAGCCATCTCTGCCCTACACCATTTCTGACAAATGGCAGTCCAGTCTCTTCTTGAAAACCTCCAGGGATGAAATTCCCACAACTTCCAAAGGAAGCTTCTGTTCCATGGGTTGATTGTTCTCATTGTCAGAAAATTTCTCCTTATTTCCAGATTGAATCTCTCCGTGATCAATTTCCACCCATTATTCCTTGTCTGGCCTTCAGGTGCTTTGGAAAATCGCTTGACCCCCTCCTCTCTGTCGCAGCCCCTCAAATATTGGAAGACTGCTATCATGTCTCCCCTGGTCCTTCTCTTCACTAGACTAGCCAGGCCCAGTTCCTGCAACCGTTCATTGTATGTTTTAGCCTCCAGTCCCCTAATCATCCTGGTTGCTCTTCTCTACACTCTTTCTAGAGTCTCCACATCTTTTTTATAGTGTCGTGACCAAAACTGGATGCAGTACTCTAGGTGTGGTCTTACTAGGGCTTTATGGAATAGTATTAGCACCTCACTTGATCCTGATTGTATCCCTCTGTTAATGCAATTTAGGATTGCACTGGCTTTTTTGGCTGCTGCTGCGCTCTGTTGGCTCACATTTAGCTGGTTGTCCACTAAGACTCCAAGATCCCTCTCACAGTCACTGCTATTAAGCCTGATTTCATCCAGTTTATAGGTGTACTTTTGGTTTTTTCTTTTTTTCTTACCTAAGTGTATCCAATTCA